GCCGGGAGCGCCGCCGCGGCGGGCTCCGCGACCCAAGGCTCCCCGGCCCGAAAGGAAACCGGCGAGGGCGGACCCGTCGCGGGGTCGTTCTTCGTGAGGCTGCTGATATCACTGTCATCCTCCACAGCCGGGGTGAGCAGCCTGTGCTCGACCATGACGTCCTTGACTTTCTCCAGCGGGAGGGGCGGCCCCTCGCGGGGTTCGGCGACGAGCGGCGGGGAGGGCTCCGCAGGGGAGATAAAATCGCGCATGGGCGGTCGCCCACGCCGCGCGTTCTTCCTTTTATTCCCTCCTTCTTTGGCGATCTTTTCCTCCTCTAAGACGTCAAGGTCGTCGGCGTGGGAGACATCCGCGGTGGTGGGTCCTCGACTTCCGGTGCATGGGTGCTCGCCGAGACTGGAGAAGGTTGTCACGGAGAGATTTGCTTTATCCTCGCCGTAGCTCGTGCCCTCGTGCAAGAACTCTTTCGTCTTTTTATCTTTCTTCAAAGGACGCAAAAGCGCAGGCGGGGAGGAGGTGGCGATGGGGTTTGGCACACCGTCGGCGTTTTTTTGCGAGTCGGAGAGGACGTTCATGCCGCTCTTATGCAGTTGATGATGGACAGGGTTTAGCGGCATCGTATGAGGAAGTGAAGGCGGCGCCGTGGTCGTGCCGATCATGGGCTCCTCTTCGTCCTCCCTCTCCTCGTCGTGGTGGTTGATGGCGACGGATGAGCGCTGCGAGGGCGCCTGAAAGACGAGCGTTGCGTCGCTAAAGCTACCGGTAGTCGCTGGAGACGCGTCGTTGTTCCAAAACGACATTATCCCCTCGTGAAGTTTCGGCGAGATCAAATCGTTTGGCCCCTCCACGAGGTGGGAAGAGCTATCCATGGTATCCAGCTCTCGAGGGGAGTTGCCCGAGTCCCCTTCGTCCAGCCCTAACGCTGTCGATTGAATCTTTTGAGAGGACGAGGCAAGGCGTGCGCGCTCGTTCGCGTGCTCGGGATTTCTCGCATAGCTTTGTGGTTCGGGCAAGCCTCGACAAGTCTGGCTTCGCGCGAGCTCGGCGCTCGACAGATGGCTGAACATCTCGCTCGTTACAAACGACGTCTGCACGCGCTGTTTAATGGGGAAGACGACGTAGCCGCCGTTGGTTGGCGGGTTGTATGGGGTGCCATCGCCATTCGCGCCCCCCTTCATCACAGAGGATAAGAAAGGAAGGCACGCCAAAAAGCGCCTCCACGGCGAGTGCTGAGAAGAACTATCGGCTGCGTTTCCGTGAGCGTCCGAATGGGTATCCCGCTGCTCAACCCCTAAGGGGAACCCCTCTTTTGCCTGGTTCTTCAGACATCCAAGTGGAAGAAAGCCGAGCGAAGACGCGCACTTCTCCATGATATCATCCCCGTGCTGCATCCACAACCTCTCGCAGGCGGTTTGAAGCGTAAAGAGGTTTAAAATGCCACGCCCGATCTTAAAAAGGCTTCGACCGTGGCGGATGGTGTTGTAATTCCGCCAAAACCGCAGCGCCCAGGGACCCGTGAAGCCTTGCGTATCCGGAGAAAACAACCAAGGCGTCTTTAGGATGCAGATCACCAGCTGCAAGAGGTACTGAATAAATTTGAACATTAAATCCCGCCCGTCGGCGGCGGTTAGGACGTATAAAAGCGTGCTACGCGGCAAGTCGCTTGAGATAATCGCGCCGAGATCCTCCCGAAAGAACCCCTGCACGCGAACCTCCGCGAGGTCGGAGTTCACGTCATCGCTGCCGTCGACACCGCCGAGGTTCGCATCCCCGACCTCCCCAGCGCGTAGCACCGATTCCGCCGTGTACGATGTCTTTGGGAAGAGCACCGAAACATTCGTTTCGGAGAGTTGCCGGAAAAAAGGCCCGTTCGACGATGTCGGCGACAGATTCGACATCTCTGCCGCGAGCATCACATCCCCTCCACCTCCAGCACCGATTTCACGCGTTGGAAGGGCCTCCCCACTCAGGCTGGAGGCATGGGGGGTGTGTTTAATCCCGCGCGGAAAATCGGCAAGCGCGGTGCTTGTTACCGGGCTCGTTCGCAGCGAGTTCACCCCACTGTAGGAGAGCAACAGCGCGAGAGGGCTTTGCGTGCTTCCGCCACTGCTGGAAGGAACGGGCAAACGCCCGCCAGGAGAGGTGGAGCGGGCCTGAGGGGAGGGAAAACGCCGCGCGCGAAGGCTCGCGCCCGCGCTGGAAGACAACGACTTCCCTTCCGCTCCAGCTGCTCCCGCTGATGGCGCCGCCGCGGGTAGTTTCGAATCTTGTCCAGGGTATTGTTGCATGATTCAACAACGAGGGAGTCGACCTGCAAAAGGGGATGCGTGGGTGAGGAGAACGACCACCACAAAGGAAGAAGAGGAAAAAAAAGATGTGAGGAAGAAAGTGGCAGGGTATAAATCAAGGTGGTTCGAGAAAGACTTCAAACGAGCGTCTGCACAATTGATTTATGTTCTTGTTTACCTCAAGATTTATCTATATATAGAGAGGGATGCCTTTAAAACACCTTCAGACAACAAAAAAGAAACCGTTTACCTATCTATATGATTAGATGGATGTCTAGTTTTTATGTAGTGTTGGAGTATAAAATTGAAAGATGCAAGTATTCCGAAGAAAAATAACTATTTCCTATTAATTTACTCGTTCTGTCATTCATGAAGTGCATAAACTAAGCAAAAAAGAACCAATTTTTACAAGAATAAGATTATAAACAGGGACGAAGAAAGATGCAGTAACCTGCCACATAATACGCTTCGCGATGACTTACCATCACCAACACAACCATCATCATCGCTTATCCAATCAATGCACCGCGAGCGCTCCAAACAACAAAACGAATTACTTACCTTAGAATCAAGGAACACTTTATACTTTACTTATTCCAATCTGCAAATTGTTACCTCCCAAAAAACGTTATAGTATACGATCAGAGTAAACCAAACAATCCACACTCACTCTCAGCGGGTAGGGGAAGGGAGAGGGATGCGTTTTAGTAAAACGACAGTAAAAACCGTAGAGAACGTAATTGATTTCTTCTGAATCAGAAAATAAAAAGGTGTCCTCATAGGTCGTGAGCCCCCTCTTCTTTCCTTTTAGTTTTCTCCCCTTTCCCCGTCGCCTTTTAATTCACCCCTCTTCCGTTTTTTCCTCAAATGGAAGCTATGGCGTCTGCGGCGCTGGCGGCCTCCACCCGACGGCGTTGCGCAGCGCTAGAGGGCTCATGCGGCGGGAACTTCGTTTCTCGCTCCTGATCGCTCTTCAAGCTTGTGTAGTACAGCCAACTCAACCCAAAGCGCTCCTTATCCTGCGAATCAATCGCCATATTCGCGGCAATCATCAGTAAAAGAGGCCCTGCGAAGTCGAGATACACGTGACCAACATCCATGAAATAGTTCTTCGTCAAGTTCCACCACTTCCCCCATCGCGATTCCTCGCTACTTTTGTCGGTAAGCATCATCTGTGCGACTTTGTAGAGTTTTTTAAATGTCAATTCACCTTGGTACCCTCCCCTTAGTTATCTCTCTCTCTTTCTCTATATATATGTATGTATGTATGTATATATTTATTCTCCTCCCTTCCATACACACACAGTTTGTGTTGTCAAAGAATATAAACCTAAATTAGGCAGAAGAGATATACGTATATGAGCGTAGAGATAAAAAAAATGAGTCGATCATACGGACGAAAAATGTTCTAACTACGACAGTGGTCTGCTATTACCACACAGTAACGAACCAGTGCTAATTAGATAAACCAAAAGTATATTTTAATCATGAAACTCATGCGAAGTACGCTATTCAGCATCACCTACTCCTTCAGCTTGCGTCTTTTCTGTTCTACTTTTTCTTTTCAAACCTACTTTCCCCCCTTCCCTTTGGTCAATTTCTCCCGCCGAACCTTATCCGGGTGTATCACAGTTAAAACTGATGCAAACACAATTGCAAATATGTATATGCATATATATATATATATATATATATATATATATATATATATG